CTCCAACCTCCCCCGGGGGACTCACCTGCAGGACGCACCTGGTCACCACCACTTGGGGAAATACCGGAGGACCTGACACATCTCACTTGAGCGTCACCTCCACCAACCCCCAGAGGCTCCCTGACACACTTTACACCGCCTCCCTCTTATCTCCCATATCTTACTGCCCTTCTGTCTCTATTATTATTGCACCGTCTTCGTTTTATCTCCCGAATCTGACTGTCTCTCTTTGTCTATTATTATTGCACCGCCTCCCTTTTATCTCCTGTATCTTACTGTCTTCCTGTCTCTATTATTATCACACTGCTTCCTTCGTATCGTTCGTACTTTATTATCCTCTTCTTTATTTTGTTTCTCCTTTCATTTCTCTTTGTTTTTGATATATTACAGCATTCATTCCCAGCTCATTTTATATTTATATTTCCCCCATCCTTCGTCTGCCTCCTATAGAGTTTATAAGTCATTCCTGTACGTCCAGCAAGAGAGAAGTGTTCTAAAGCTGACGATCGTTGTGGTAGATCCGTCACAAGTTAAGTAACCTGAGTGAGTGTTGACTTGTTAAAGAGTTCCTCATTAGAGTAGCAGGAAATGATTGTAGACTCCTCCTCCTTCACAGTAATTATATATGTTTACTAATTCACTTGTTAGGGTCGTAATCACCCGGCGTGACCAGGCAACGATCTCCACACAATTACTTCCATTAGGGACTCCAGCCTTAATGACTGTATGAATCACCTGCACGACCCGCGACCTCACCATCAACGCCGACAAAAACACTCATACAAAAGTTGGAGCCGACAAAAAAATGTCTAATGATGGGGGAGAGGTGAAGATTGACGTGGGGACGGGGGTGGGGGGGGTGTGGGAGATGTAGGAGGTTATGAGGCCATGGGGAGTAGTGCAGGAGTATTGGAGTGAGATGTAGTGAGGGAGATGTGGGAGGTTGTGAGGCCGAAGCGGGTGGTGTAGGGGTAATGGACTGGTGTGTGAGGTGGTGTGGTGAGATGATGTGGGCGGTGACGTGGAAGGCAGTGAGGTTGGGCCAGGAATATTGTCATAAAATACAATATATACGCAGGCAGGTATAACTAGAGGTGGTGTGTCATGCAGTTCACACCTCCACCTGTTGTTGATCACTTTTCTCTACCTCACTCATCTCTTATTCTCTTCAATATCCTCATCCTCATCTTATTCCTTATTAAAACGATATCTCAACTTTCCTTTTGTTTATCTCTTCCATAAGTTTATTTTCCTCTTCCAAGTTATTATTCTCATTTCGCTTTCTCTTACAGTCTCTATAATTCTCTTCTTTACCTGCTGTTCCTGTGGTTTTTCTTGGTGTTCCTTCTGCTGCAACTCCTTCGGCTGCTGCAGGTGGTGGTGCTCGTAGTCTCAGATAGGAGAAGGCCAGACAGCGTGTCGCCCTCCTATACCTGCCCCACATTTACATAATAGTGTAGAGTCGTCGACCTTGACACTACCCGGATCTCTCTCAAGGGTTTGTCTATACATTCTCTGTGACACTATTAGGTTAGGTTAGGTTAGGTTAGGTTTAGGTTAGGGTTAGGATGGGTTAGGACCATAATATACACTTAGGACACGTAAAAAAACATTCACACTTACTCAATGTCGCTCTCTAACACACACACACACACACACACACACACACATAACTAGGAAATGACACCACTTGTCTTCAAGGTAGTTAATGTTACGAGGTGTGACCAATGGGTGAAGGTATATGGAGGTGGGAGGGAGGGAGGAGGATATACCTTTGTTCATATGGACTTGGTTGTCATTTATTGAGTCTTTTATAACTACAACAATTACCCTAAAGTTGATCATTGTGACATGGATAATGGTGAAAGTAATATAATGATGATGATTATTTTCACTACGAATAATTGTTAGTTACTCGTGTAGGTTAGGATTTTTTATTTTTTTATTTCCAATTCTGTTTATTTCAATTTCTCTGTTTTAGTTTGTTTTTGTATGTCTTTGGTTGTTCTTACGTACATAAATAGTTACCATTGAAAAGAGTTGATCAAATTAGTTGGAACGTTTGATATTGAAGTCATTATTAAGAAGTCTCTGTTCCTCTCACCTTCTGTTGCTGCTGTTCCTACTGTACCCCCTCCTTCAATCTTTGTATGCTATGCACTCTTTCTCCTGCTGTTTCAAAAATTGCTGCTGATGTACCTCCTTTCCTGTTATGTGGTAATTGCTGCTTGTTAAAATCTCCTTCTCCTGTTGTTGTGTATCTCCCAAGTTACAGTACTCCTCCTTCTCCTCTCTGCTGTTAAAATTCAAGGTTGCACCCTCTCCTTTCACCTGTTGTTGTGTAATCTGCTGCTGCTGTACCTCCTCCTTCACTTTACATGTTGTAAAATTGCTGCTACTGTAATTCCTTTCAGTTCGTTGTTAGTAACCTGCTGCTGCTGTAAATTCCCTCTCCTGCTGTTAGAAATTCATCGGTTGTTGTATTCTCCCATAGAGAAATCTGTTGCTGCTGTATCTTTCTCCGTTGTTGTAAAATTGCTGCTGCTATATCCTCCTCCTAGTTGTTGCACCTGTTGCTGTTGTGTACCCACTTCTGTTGCTGCACCTTTCCTCTTCCGTTGTTAGGCACCTGTTGTTGCTGTACCCTCCTGTTGTTGTGGCACCTGCTGCTGCTGCACCTCCTCCTTCGCATTGCTTGTGCACCTGTTGTCATGCACCTCCTCTTCCTGTTGTTAAAATGCTGCTCGCTGTACCCCCTCCTTCTCCCAGCTGGTTAGTTCACTGTTGCTGTAATTTCCTCCTTTCTCCTGCTGTTGTGTACCTGCTGCTGCTGTACCTCCTCCTTCTCCTGCTGTTGTGTACCTGCTGCTGCTGTACCTCCTCCTTCTCCTGCTGTTGTGTACCTGCTGCTGCTGTACCCCCTCCTTCTCCTGCTGTTGTGTACCTACTGCTGCTGTACCTCCTCCTTCTCCTGCTGTTGTGTACCTACTGCTGCTGTACCTCCTCCTTCTCCTGCTGTTGTGTACCTACTCCTTCTTCTTCTCCTGCTGCTACTGTTGGTGTCTCTCCCCCTTCCTTCCTCCTCCCTCCCCCGGGTACCAGACGTCCCAGGAGCGCCAGTGTGAAGATAATTACAGTGTCTGGCCAGTGTTAGTGAGCCTGTTGTACTACTGTTCTTCCCCGCCCCTTGTTCATCACGTCCCACACCTTGTTCATCACCTCCCACACCATGTTCATCACCTCAGTATCTTGTTCATTACCTACGTACCTTGTTCATTACCTTCGTACCTTATTCATCACCTTTATACGTTGTTCATCACCTACTCGTCCTTTGTTCATCCATTTCCCACCCCCCTGGCCTATGTTTATCATCCACTCCTTCCTTTTTCACCAACCACCCGTAACTCGTTCACTCATGTTCACTACTTAATCTAGATCTTTAATTTGACCTTGTTCACAGAGCAGATCTAGTGGATGAGGTCGTAGTTTGTCTGTCATTAACAAGTTCAAAGGAAGTCCATGGAATTGGTGGGTCAGCCATTTAAATATATTACTTGATATAATGCATTTATTACTACTACTACTACTACTACTACTTTTTGTTTGCATAAAATGGTCTCCAGCCTCCCTCAATAGCCACACCTTCTCCATTGTATTACCTACTACTACTACTACTACTACTACTACTACTACTATTACTGATAAATTACACTAAAACATTATAAGGTACATGATCAAGGTATCCCTGACACCATCCTCATCAACTGTCGGAAACCCATCACCAAAAATGGGTAATTCTTATGACTTAAGCTTGGCTCCTGTGTCTCAGTGTCTTAACATGGTGTCCATTTCCTCCTCATAAGTGAGTACATGTATAAGGTGACCTGGAGTGTAGGGGAAGTGAAGTAAGGCTATGCATTACACACCTGGAGATGAAATTAACACTGGAACGGAAACCTGGACCTTGGGCGGCCACATTCTTCTCAAGGTTAACCTGTCACACACACACACAGATGCACACACACTTCTGTACATGTGTATGTTTTCTTTGGTAATGATGAGTATTTATTCCACTGTACAAATCAACAGGTGTTCGAAGTGTATATAACTTTTTTTCGTCATGATGTAATATGTGTGTGTGTGTGTGTGTGTGTGTGTGTGTGTGTGATCCAGGGGCAGCAGCAGCCCGCGGCACTCTTGTACAGTGCACGACCCGCCACACCGGTTATGACGTCACAAGGTTTGATGCGTCACGAAAGGCCATCTTCCTTTTCTTTGTTCTTGACAGGTGGATATTTTTTCTTCTTTCGCCAGTGAGGACAGCGAGTAGGAGGGCGACGGACGTAAAATTATTGCCTCTGGCTCCTCTGACGCAGGTTTCATCATACATATTAATACACAATGAAACATGACAGGACGCCATCATAAAAAAAAACTTTAATATCTTGTGATTATTTTCTCTTCTTCCCACAATCTGTCATTTTCGGGGAACGTAACGTCAGAGAGGACTTGCGTAATATTCCGTGTATAAAGGACACAACATGGCCCCGGGACACACTTTAAGCGGGAAACACTCAATCATGTGTATAATATGACGTCACCTGCCCCTACCTCCACCTGACACCTTCTACCAATGTTACCTGTGTCTTGATCTCTGGTACACTACCCACACCTGACACTGCTGGTGACTATTTTACTCGATTAAAGCATTACGATGTTTACTGAATATAATATAAAATACCTGAATAAACCAGAAATTATATTTCCTGAGTCCCTGTTTAGCCATTTTTATCATCAGGTGTTCTGTACATTCTTATACCTCCTCATTATATCTCCTTTTATATATAAATTAAATATAAATCCACAGCTAATCATGTATATAATAATTTCAGAAACTAACAATTTTTTTTATTAGAAATTCAATAAGAAAGAGAAATAGTTATTGAATATATCCTAATTATTTATACCTGTTTGTGACATTGGTCTTTCTTACCCTACAGCAAGTGACACCGCAGCCCACCACCAGCCCAGAGTGTAAGCGTGGGCGTACAGGGTGGCCACAGGAGGTGTGGGCCCAGGAACTGAAGAAGTAGACCTGCCACCATGCCCGTCTCCCTCACACTACACCAGGAGCCACACAACACCGGCGGGGTTATCTGGCCAGGGAGTTAGTGTCCACAGCTGTGTCGGAGGAGGAGGAGGAGGAGGAGGAGGAGGAGGAGGAGGATAATAAACTCTAGGTGAGAGGAAAATGATGGAGAGAACATTTATTGTGGAGGAAAACTTAAACAAGAAAGAACAAATCTGGTGCGACTGAAGTACTGGAGAAAGAGACAAATATTTGATGTGAGGAAAATATTGTGAAGGAGAAGAATATGAGGAGGAAGATCAAGCATTACACAAGAGATGCTGGAACATGTTTTAGGAGCTGCGAATTACAACACATAGACATTTAATAGAGCTGATCCATTGACACTAAAGGAGATGTATGGTCAACAAAATGGCATTAAAATATTTGGTAACTAATGTGAGAATATGGAGAGTGACGTGCGTTTTTTTTTGTGTGTGTGTACGTGTGTGTAGCACCGAGGACGTCAACGCATACAAGGCACTAAACACAATCAAGGTTGATGTCTAAAACATTTGAAGTAGCATACACACACACACACGACCAAGAAGCAATATCTAAGGTCATTACTGTATTGCCTGACCATATCTGAAGGAGTTCTAAGTATATATTTTGGCAAATATCCTCTCGTCAGCTGTGAGGAGTTTTCACGCACAGGAGACAAGAGGTGTGGGGGTGTGAGGGAACATTCCAAAATTACTACATCACCACAAAAGTTCAAATGTATCGGGACCACATACCCTGGATGAAGGTGACGTGTACAGCCTCGTCCTCGTCATGTTTATCAGTAACAGGGTTGAAGTCTTCGTCACTGTCATCCCCATCGTCAGCATCTTCACTGTCATTAGACGCTGGTAATCTTTATGAGTGTCAGCATCGTCGTTATCATGGTCATCGTCAGCACCAACATCGTCGTTATCATGGTCATCGTCAACACCAATATCGTCGTTATCATGGTCATCGTCAACACCAACATCGTCGTTATCATGGTCATCGTCAGCACCAACATCAATGTCATCATGATCACCGTCAGCACCAACATCAACGTCATCATGGTCATCGTCATCATCGTCAGGATCAACGTCACCATCATCACTTGTATAGTCATCACCATCAAAACATCATCGCCGTGGTCAACAGGATGTATCATCAATAATCATCGTCGGAGGAAGAAAATGACACCACATCGTCGTCACTTCATCGTCGTCACGTCATATGTGCGATGCCTCTACCAAAAGAGGTGAGTCATACTTTGGTGTTCTTTTGTCACAACAGTAAAACACCAAACTGTATCGCCACACACACACACACACACACACACACACACACACACACACACACACACATACACACACACGCGCACACACAATAATACTGTCGCCCGTGTAAGTGTTGTAGTTGTACCCGACACACCATCACAACACCTATGCAACATCAAATCCTCTGCCTCTATTTAACCTATATAGTCCTTGGTGTGTGAGAATTGCTGAAAATGACCATATATTAACACGTGGTGGTCACTTTACATTACCTTTAGTGTAAACAAGTCATTAAACAATCTGTAATTTTAATTGTTTATCTGTTTCTGTGGTATTTTTTTCTTCTTTTTCTTCATTGACTCACCGACTTGGTTATATGCTTATTTGTTTTTTAGTCAATATAGAAGAACAGCGTCGTGTGTGGATTTATGCTTGGAGGAATGATCGCGAATCCTACTAACATTTTTCCAAGGCATTTTACAGTATATCTCAAAGCCTGAAACTTAAATTGAACAGATGCAGCGTACAAGGACACGTCCTTTAATGGATCGGTGACTTTATAATGACAAATAATGTCTAGTAATCATCGCCAGGAAATCGTCATGTGTACTCTTGCCAGTGGTGTGCCGCAAGTCAGTGTGCTTGGACCGATGTTGTTTGTCTCTTTCATAAATTAATACCAGATGCTATATAGCCCATTAGCCTTCCATATAAAATAATGCCGATGATGTTGAATTATTTGTGGAAATTAAAGACCTAAGAGGCTGTGAAGTTTTACACGACGAAATCCATTGGCTTCAAGCACCGTCACAGGAATGGATGGTGACATTCAACGTTGCGAAATGTCAGAGGATGCACCTTGGTCGTAATAATAGTTAAGAAGCGTATCACATGTCCCAACGTAATGAAGACATTTCCCTTACTGAAACTAAATGTGAGAAAGGTGTGAGTGTTTGTGATGATAATGACCTGAAGTTCTCGGATCAATGCGAGAAGAAAGTAAGTCTTGTTAATACACTAGTTGGTTTAATACGAAGATCCTATACACACTTAGATGATCTGCCTTAAATGAGAGTTTCCAATGGCTTAGTTCTACCTCACTTGGGGGACTGCAACTCTATTTGGTCTCCGAGATATATCATAGACGGCCAATTGACTAAAAACGACCAAATAAGAGAAGAACCAAACTGGTGTTGGACTGTTGGCGCCCAGACACTTCATTTACCCCTAGAGAATAAAACGTTTACAATGGAAAGAGTTTTTACGTTTCTATCAGCCACACATCACCTCCTCAAAGGGCGTTACTCTGTTAAATATACAACAATTATCTGGACTTCACGGATGATCGCCAAATGAGTTGCGAATCTTTAAAATAATCTGCTAGAAAATGTTGTGATAAGACCAGGTGTCTTTAAGTTCAAAATTAACCAACACTGGAACATTTCAGATGCATAAAAAAACCTGAACATGTATAACAGAGACCCAACTGATCACGTGACTTGTTTAAATGACCAAAATTATAGTTGTTGCTATTATTATTATTATTATTATTATTATTATTATTATTATTATTATTATTATTATGATGATGATGATGATGATGATACGTATTGTAATAATATAAACCAGATAAGTATTTTACTCTCTTATCATGTCTTATGTATACACGCGTACATTATAAAATATTATGTTTGTACGTCACAAAACTATATTCACTGTATATTATGATTAGCAAGGTATTATAATATAGTATACTCTCCTATATAGTTTATATATACACAATAAACAACTCCTACTTTATTGTATACCTCCCGGTGAAGGACTGAACCACTCTGTATTCTATATTCATACACGACAAACTACACATGCTGCAGATATTCCAAGGTATAGTGTTATGAAACATCATACACTACAATATACACTGGAGGGGCAGCATGACAGGACCGAACACTGTACAACAATATGGCTTAGGAGGGTGGGGGGGGTGGAGGGAGAGTGATTGAGGGAGAGGGATGGAGGAAGGGAGGAGGGAGGGAGAGAGGGGAGCGAGAGGGATAGGGGGATGGAGGAGGGAGGGAGAGAGGAAGGGGAGGGCGTCAGGCACGGGAATAAAGGAAAGATGAATTATATTGTAGCCTCCCCGGGTAACTCCATCCCTCTGACCTCGTGACCTGGGCACAGGCAGGCTGGGAGGGGGGAAAACCAGGAAGGAGGGAGGTAGGGAAGCAAGGGGGAAGGAGCGTGGAAAGGATGGATGATGGAGGGAGTGATGAAGGGAGGAACAGAATGAAAGAGGGAAGTAGAAGGAAAAAAAGAAAGGAATTAGGAAGAGGGAAGAGAGAGTTATAGAAGGCATGGATGATGAGAGGGAAAGAGTGCTTATGGAGGTTGCAGAGGAAGGGAACAGGAATAAATGATAGAAGGGAATGGGAAGTTATAGGGATGAGTGGGAGAGGTGATGGTGGGAGTGGGAGAGGTGATGATGGTGATAGTGGGAAAGGTGATGATGGTGGTAGTAGTAGTAGGAGAGGTGATGATGGTGGTAGTGGGAGAGGTGATGATGGTGATAGTGGGAGAGGTGATGATGGTGGTGGTAGTAGTAGTAGGAGAGGTGATGATGGTGGTAGTGGGAGAGGTGGTGTTGGTAGTGGTGGTAGTGGTGATGATGATGGTGGTGGGTATACATAAACAAGGTACAAAGAAAAAATATTCAATAAATCCCTTACATATAAACTAAACAAACACACAACATATACACCTTTTGTTTCTTGCCTTTACCTTCCGTTCTCTCATATCCCCTCCTCACCCCCCCTCCCCCCATAAAAGATGTAAGCGAGAGGGTAAGGGGGGGGAGGGAGAGCAGGAAAGCGAGAATGTGTTAGGTGTGGAGCGAGAGAAGGGAGGCAGAGTGAACGATGACAAATTTGTTGAGAGAGAGAGAGAGAGAGAGAGAGAGAGAGAGAGAGAGAGAGAGACAGACAGACAGACAGACAGACAGACAGACAGACAAAGGAAACCAATAATATACTTTATGACAATAGACGAAAATTGACAACGAAAAAAAAATACATAGAAGGAAAGAGACACAAAGAGTTCAGAATAAATCTAATTAAAGTGAGTCATGTCTAGAATGTGTTGTGTTGGTGCCCCGCTTATCTGGGGGTTGGGGGGGTGATGGAGGTGGGGAGATAATGGTCCCATGGGGGTGTTTTAGGGGTCGTGTTGTAGGTGTAGTGGGGGGTAAGGAGAGAGGCGGAGGAGGTTGTCTCAGTGTGTAGAGGCGCCATTACGTGGAGTACAGGTCGAGCATTTAGTTAAGTGTAGAGATGAGGTCAGGTGTAGAGGTTAAACAGGTGTAGAGGTTAAGTAGGTGTAGAGATGAGGTCAGGTGTAGAGATGAGGTCAGGTGTAGAGATGAGGTCAGGTGTAGAGATGAGGTCAAGTGTAGAGATGAGGTCAGTTGTTTGTGGAAAAAATATAGTTTACGATTAAATGTGATCAACAAATAGATAAAATCGAACTGGGGCCTTGTACGTCCTGGGAAATACAAAACAAAACCAACATAATACACTAGCTTGTCCTTGTTCGTCCTATGGAAATACAACCTTAGTTCTTATTACCCTTTCTTGTTCTCATTGTTTTACTCTTGATATTTTAGGTTCATGTACGGTATGTGTTTGTGCCTGTGTATGTTATGTTTGTGTGTAGGGAGGGTGTGAGGGGCTGATTCTACACCCTGTAGTAGGTGTAGCGTTTCGTCCTGGGTGTCCCAAGGGCGTCTACCTTCCCCGGAGACCTACCCAACCTTACCTAGTCCCTGTTACCCAGAGCCTTAGACAGCATCTTACACTCTTATCCCGTTCTGACCCAATTATTCAATCACACCAAATCAAATCATTTTTAACGATGTTAGTAAGCAAATAGACAAACTAAAGCCTAATAAGTCACCTGGTCCCGATGAGATATTTGCCAGAGTATTAAAGGAATGTAAGGAAGAGCTTAGTATGCCCTTAGCAAAGATGTTTAACATGTCCTTAAAAACAGGTGTAGTACCAGAATCCTGGAGGATAGCGAATGTAATACCGATTTTCAAGAAGGGGGATAGATCACTATCCTCTAACTACCGCCCAATCAGTCTAACATCAATAGTAGGCAAATTACTGGAAGCAATCATTTCAAACTCTATTCAAAATCACCTGGAGAAGCACCGATTGATCAATGATTCCCAGCATGGCTTCACAAGCGGACGTTCTTGTCTAACTAATCTATTAACATTCTTTTCATCAGTTTTCGAATCGATGGACGAGGGGCACAATTATGATGTGGTATATCTCGTGAAACTTTAGCAAAGCCTTCGATGATCCCCACGAAAGGGCTAATTAGAAAATTGAAGCTCATGGCATCAAAAAGGTGACATCCTTAAATGGATTAGGGCATTAGTTACAGGACAGGAAACAGCGAGTGAGCATTAACGGCACCTAAGTCCCATTGGAGCAACGTCTGAGTAGGACTACACAAGGCTCAATGCTTGGACCATTGGCTGTTTATTATATACGTAAACGACATAGATATCGGCATAGACAGCAACATAAGTAAATTTGCTGATGACACTAAAATAGGACGTGTTATCAAATCTGACGAGGACTCCGCAAAACTACAGGAAAGATCTAAACAAATTTTTCGAATGGTCTGAAAAATGGCAGATGAAATTCAACGTCGACAAATGTAAAGTACTCAGTATAGGAGATGTAAACAGGGAAACCAGATACCAGATGAACAACGATGCCATAGAGAAATCCGACTGCGAGAGAGATTTAGGAGTAATGATAAGTAGGAACCTTAAGCCAAGTAAACAATGTGTTTTTGCTGGTAACAAGGCTAATAAAGTACTTGCTCTTGCTCCTGTGAGACCACACCTGAATTACGCAGTTCAGTTCTGGTCACCGTATTACAGAATGGATATAGAATCCTTGGAAAGAATTCAGAGGAGAATGACAAGACTAATCCCGGGCATTAGGAACCTTGAGTATAAAGACAGGTTAAAGCATCTTAATTTGCACTCCCTTGAGAGACGTAGAGCGAGGGGCGACCTGATAGAGGTGTATAAGTGGAAGGCAGGGCTAAACAAAGGGGACATTACAAAGGTACTCAAATTATCCAACCAGGAGCGAACTCGTAACAATGGTTTTAAATTAGACAAATTTAGATTTAGGCGTGAAATAGGTAAACACTGGTTTGGAAACAGAGTAGTGGATGAATGGAACAAGTTACCAAATATCATCATTAACTCGAATACGCTGAATTGCTTCAAACATAGGTTGGATGCTCATATGAGCAATAGGGGTTGGGTGTAAACGGGACTGCCCAGTATGGGCCAATAGGCCCGCTGCAGTTTCCTCCAGTCTTATGTTCTTATGTTCTTACCTAATGGTCTAGGTTCTACTTTACTTTTCTCTTCCTTTATAACAACAAATACGTTACGGAAGACTTTACCATATGCAGTAAACCTCAGTCACACTTTGGCCCAGAGTCTCACGATGTATTTCCACTCTTTTCAGGCACACAACCTCGACGGCTCGACAGTGTCACTTTCAGGCCATCCCAGTAGACAAAGTCCTCCTCACTTGCCTGTATGGAGCTCTTGATCAACAGTATGCAGCTCCCATATGAGTTGGGGCCCTTCACTCTCCTGGCTATTGCAATCTACAAAAACACTTATGAAGCTCTGTATACGGTGTGAGGATCTACAAGAGGCAACGCGTAAGGTCTCCAGATAGTGTCAGAATCCACTCAACAATATCACAGAAGGTCTCCAGGTACTCTCGTGATCCTCCAAGTTCCTCGTGATCATGTTATTGTGCCGACGTCTTTTCTCTTTTCCTCCTCTTCGTGCTCCTCATTTTCGCCCTCCTATACAGTGAACCCTACTGGGTTCTCCAGCGTTTACAGCACTCCTACATAACATGTCCCCCAGGCTTGGTCTCCAAGATCCCACCGCTGTCTCCAAGGACGGCCATGTTAAAACCCTTCCATTCCAAGTGGCTTGACTTTAATTAGTATTAATGTTGAGCCTATTAGCGTATATATATATATATATATATATATATATATATATATATATATATATATATATATATATATATATATATATATATATATATATATATATATATATATATATATATATGTGTGTGTGTGTGTGTTCGTAGCGCACGGGTTGTACGCCCTTGTGTCCATACCTGGCTTATTATGGTTTGTCAAAGTTGGCTTATCATGCCTGGTATCTTGCAGCTGGGTTACCATTGCCTTGAGTTTGTTGCAGCGGGCTTACCATGGCCAGACTTCTTCCGTGTGGCTTACCATGGCCTGGGGTATCTTACAGGTGGCTTATGGCCTTGCAAGCCACAGCTGTTTATCATGACCTAGTTTGTTGCAGCCAACTTATCATGGTCTGACTTGGTGCAGCTGGCGTGCAAGAGCAGGCAGGTGTCCGGGTGCAGTGCCAGGTAGTAATCAGTAGAGCTTCCACAGTGCCAAGGTGTGTGAGTCGTGTAGAAGGTGTCCACTACAACTCATACATAACTTATCAGTATATATATATAGTATATAATAAATGCAATCTGTATACATACTTACGTGACCTGCAATATATTAAGTAACCTGATAGCCTTTAAAATGCACATGACACAAATTTATGCAATCCATTACATATTGTTTCACAGCTTTTGAATGTAAAGCATATTTGATATAGATGAATATTTCCACATATTTAAAGTTATACTCAACACACGTACACATTTCATCTCATAGTTAAGGGTGGCGGAGTTACTGTAACTAGGAGTGTCGTAGTTAGGAAGCCGTAGTACATAAGAGAGACACAGCTTGGTGGTGTAGTAGATTCACCTACAGCAGCTACACCCACCAGCCACTACCTTGTTCCTGTACAAACTTTATCTGTATATGTTGTTTAGTTTACTACCTGTATGGTGCTGCAAGTGCTTGAGGTGGAGGTAGTGGGAGGACAGGATATTTAATTAAAGTCTATGATTGAATAATAAAGCAATATTATCTATCATTAATTTGTATACAATATTTAAAAGATTATTATATTCACACACATTTTCTTTTCGGTGGATGTGTCATTAATTTGGAAAAGGTATTAGTTATTAAGACATGTAATATATCCCTCTCCTCTCTCTCTCTCTCTCTCTCTCTCTCTCTCTCTCTCTCTCTCTCTCTCTCTCTCTCCTGCACACAGCACCTCAAGTGTTCGCACAGGGACACAAAGAGCGCGGTTTTGTGTACTTAAATACTTAATGTTGTAGATATAAGTCGTGTTGAGGAGGTGTGTCGCCTGCAGATACACAATGTTGAGAATTATTGTCATGTCTGCAGAAAGTTAGTATAGACGGGGAGTGGATTTTGGTGTGTGTGTGTGTGTGGTAGTGTCAAGAGTGTGATATATGGGCGTACGTATGTGTGTGTGTGTGTGGTAGCGTGTAGGTAAACGTGTACAACAGTTGGTGTGGCTGGCTGGGAAAGCTTATATTAAAGAACTAATAAACAACTCCTTTACTCACCGATTCATTTTTAAACTGACTGATTGATTGGAGAATGACTGAAGCTTAATGAGCAATCTACTGGACAACGCAGTTCTCCGCCTGTCTAAAGAATTAAACCATATTTTTCTCAATTCATTTCAATTTTTAGTATCAAGATTATCTGCCTTTAACTGTATATCTCAGTTTAGACTACAAGAGAAGCCTCCTCGGTATTCGTGTATTACCTTGAATACCGCAGTGAAAGGCACGGAGGGGAGGGGAGAGGGAGGGGAAGGATAGTGGTAAGGGAGGGGAAGCGGTGACATCAAACACGTAATTAAGGTCATCTCAAGGTTTCTTATGCTTGACTATACTAAATTAACAATCATTAGTAAAGTCTCTGAAGCTGATTTAGATAATTGAGTTTATATTTACCGATCGTCAGGTGGACACAATAACAAACACAGGTCATTATGAACAGATAATATGGTTTAATTTATAAGATAAGGGAATGAGCATGAAAAAAATAGTGATTAAGTGACACGTCTGGGCCATAGGAGGGGGAGAAGACCTTATACCTGGATGTATGAACGAGACTGATGGTGTGAGTGACAGTGTGAGTGACGGTGTGAGTGTTACTGTGAGTGAGTAACCGTGTGAGTAACATTGTGAGTCATGTGAGTCATTGATATACTTACCATAATAATCAGGAAAAGATATTTATTACTCCCTGGTACAAACTCACAACATCAACAATACTTACCTGGCGGGTGATAACAAATGAGCCAACACAGGTGAGGTAAACAACAAAGCTACCTGTTTAGAATACTGAAGATCACACCTGAGGAGCATCAATCATCTCCAAGTGATTCAGAAAATAAATCGAGAATTTTTTTTTTTACCCTACAACTGGCATTAATGAAGCATAAACGAAAATATGCAGAGAAATAAAAATAAATTAATACAATACTATTTTTTTATCTTTTAAGGTGTAAGTTATCATGTTTTTAAGGGAGATAAGTGTGATGTTAAAGTATGTAGTAGTGTGAACAAAATAACACCCATACTCATAAGTGTGTGTGTGTGTTGGTTGTATACAAATATTTAATGTTGTGTTATTCTCGTTACGTCACACTACGTTACACCTTCATGTCACTGTGTTATGGTGAATATTGTCACCACGTGTACAAATTTATATTGTTTTATATGTTAAGTTTTCCAGTGGTGCAGCGGTCAGTTGTGTTAAAAAATCGTAACCAATGAGGATGATCAGTGTTACCAGTATCCATAGTTGGTAACATTGTTGACTGTAATCAAGTGTAATATTCCTAATGTTAAGTGTTGTTTGTCAAGGTTGGGAATAACTACAAGGTACCAATGATAACTTTGGTACCAATGTTGCAAGCAAATGGTTTAAACAACACGTAGCAATGGTGCCAATATAGAGAAACACTAGATGATCAATGTTACCAATGTTGTAGCAGTAGTGTAGGTGTGTCTGACAGGTTCTAGTCATAGTGTATATTGTGTATAGTATCTTGTGTATGATAGACTGTATGACGCTACCCTTAGTAATAAACACATTTTCATTATCAGTGTTTCTCTCTCATTCCCGGTGATAATAACTTGGGGTGCATAAATTAATACAACAAAGCTATGAGCAAGTGAAGTAAATAAATATTGATTATTGACAAAAATACTAAAATAAAAATCACAGAAATAATAATAATAATAATAATAATAATAATAATAATAATAATAATAATAAGCTTAATATAATACAGTATATCACAAGAGAGGAAGAATATAAATGCATTAAGCTGTAAACCAGAACAAAAAAGTTTGTTCTCTCTCTCACACCACTCTCCCTAGACCTACCTCCCTCTCACACCACTCTCCCTGGACCTACCTCCCTCTCACACCACTCTCCCTGGACCTATCTCCCTCTCACACTATTCTCCCCCCGACCCTCGTTCTTCTCCCTTCATCTTCCCCTATGACCTTCCTCCCTTTCTTTCCCATCACCTTTCACAAACCTCTGCCCTCCATCATCACCTTCCCATCCCTCTTCCCTCTCCTATCACTTCTCTCGACACTCTCCCCTCTCCCAATACTCTCCCCAACCCTCTCCTCTCTCCCATCACCTCTCTCTTTCCCCTCTCCCATTACCCTCTCCAATCATCTTCTCTCTCCCATCACCTCTCTCTCCTCTCTCCCATCACCTCTCTCTCTCCCTTCTCCCATCACCTCTCTATCTCTCCCCTCTCCCATTACCCTCTCCAACCATCTCCTTTCTCCCATCACCTCTCTCTCCCCCTCTCCCATCACCTCCCCCGACCCTCTCCCCTGAACCCCGCTATAAAGTGTAAATTGCCACGTGCAGGGTTCCCCTCTTCTCTTCCTCCCTCCCTCCCTCTCTTCCTTGTCTTCCTCTCTCACTATCCCTCCCACTCACCTTCCTACGCTTGATATCCCATAAACCTCCTTTCCACAGCACCTCTCCCTTCCGATGTCATTTATCTAAGCCTTCCCTCCCAATCCCTCCATCAAACGTTCCTCCTTCCCTCCACTGCTGATTCTATCTTCCTCCGTCCCCTCTTCCTTCCCTTCCTCCCTAACCTCCCTCCTTCCCTCCCTCCCTGGCAGTAACAGCACAACAGTTGTGTGGTCGTTGGCCAATTAGCATAGTTGGCATAACAAGACCTGGTGACGTGTCCGGTGTCGCCCCCTCCCGGAACTAGTACCCTCCATTCCCCACCCCATGGCCACTCCCGGGACAGGCCTCAGACACTCCCGAGACACGCTGAAGACACGCTGAAGACATGCATGAAACACGCAAGAGACACATATGGGACACGCATAAGACACGTCCTAGACATGCCTGGGATACGCATGGGACACGCTTGGAGCATAAAAGAAACACCTTAAAGTTAGACACAGCAGAGGATAGGACACGTGACCTGAGGGGAACACTGTATGGACAAGGTACGGAGCCGAAGATATGGCAGTGAAAGGACGCAGTTGTAGAGAGGGGACATGGTAGTGAGGGGACATGGTAGTGAGGGGACATGGTAGTGAGGGGACATGGTAGTGAGGGGACATGGTAGTGAGGGGACATGGTAGTGAGGGGACATGGTAGTGAGGGGACATGGTAGTGAGGGGACATGGTAGTGAGGGGACATGGTGGTGAGGGGACATGGCAGGAGGGGTCACGTGGTAGTGGAGGGGACATGGTAGGAGAGGCCGGTAGTGAGGGGACATGGTAGTGAGGGGACATGGTAGTGAGGGACATGGTAGTGAGGGGCCAGTGGTAGTGAGGGGACATGGTAGTGAGGGGACATGGTAGTGAGAGGGGACATGGCAGGTGAGGGGACATGGCAGGAGGGGTCATGAGAGGAAATGGTAGTGAGGGGACATGGTTGTGAGGGGACATGGTAGTGAGGGGACTTGGTAGTGAGGGGACGTGGTAGTGAGGGGTCGTGGTAGTGAGGGGTCATGGTAGTGAGGGGACATGGTAGTGAGAGGAAATGCTAG